GGTATCAAGAGGAGATTCAGCTGCTCAACGAGGCCTACAGAAAGCAATCTGGTGAGGGGGGGGAGTGACACTCTCAGGATAACAAGAGGTGGCTCTCAGGAGGAGGATGAAAGAGAAACTCTGCCACCAAAGATGAGAGACGTAGTTCCTAATCATTCCACGTTTACTTCCTTCTGATCACTCGAACCAAACTGACAGACGAACAAAACAGAGACTAAGATTAACAGTGATATAATTGTCTACTCTTGTAATTCCTCTTTAGATAGCATCATGAGAGCACATGCATCTACTGTGTGGGGAGTGCACAGAGATAGATTAGCTTGTGGAAGAGCAGATAGTAGTGAATCTGTGAGAGCAGCGGAGAAAGAGATAGCACCAAAGGAAGCGGCAGACAGGAGAGAGAAACAGTATTCCAGCAGAGCATCTGTATTCATGTCCAGACTTTGGACTGTGTGGCTGCCTGTTGTCATAAAACAGATACATTAACAGAGAAACTCCCTTAGACGTGGAAGAGGAGGGGCCACGGTCTGGTCACATGTTTGCTTGGAAGCAGCTTCTGCACACTACGTCACTGGTGACTCAGCTGTGAGGGGAGGGTCATCTGACCCATGAGTCTGACTCATCCCAGTGTGTGTTTTTGTGCATTTTGTGTTCAGGAAGTAGCCTTACCCATAAGGATGAGGGTTAACTCATGACAGTAATGGTTTGTGATGTCAACCACCAATAGTATTCAAACGTTCCTCTTATAAGAATGTGTTAATTCTGTGTATTTCTTTAACTTATTGCGTGTTTAACTTAATTGCATCCTGCTCCTATACATCCATCATGTGTTACACAGTTAATGTTGCTACTATCAAATTCAAGAGACCAGTATCCATGCTGAAACAGGAGGAGAGAAAAAGGAAAGCAGAGAAGTCAAGCATTTAAGGGAGAGTACAAGTGATCATTGGAGAAGGGGTTGAGGGCTTGCAGAGCTGTTTTCTGCCTCATGTACATTCGATGCAATTTACATGAGTGACAGTGTGCATATTTTTACTACAGTGGGCAGCATATGAATGTACATCCCCAGACCACTTTGCGGGGAATCATCTCTCTGCCAGCTCAGTTCACTGCGCATCCAATCAGTGAGCCAAAGGGGCCCCTCACTGTCAGTATATGAATTCTGGACTGGAATAATTTTAGCACCACAGTAAACAGAAACATACAAATCTTTACTCTCTTTCACTGATAATATCAGTATCATAACTTATATCTACATTTAAATGCACAAGTGTTTGTACAAACAGCAGTTACATATATGTATTAAAGACTAATTTAAGAATAGATGTGTATTTAATTTTCTTTTTTGATGGTTATATATCAGCTCTTTGTTTGCTTGATCTTCAATACAGCGTCAGCACATTGTGTTCTTCATCAGCAGCCTTTTAAATTGTCCCTTAGTGAGCCCGCTTCATCAGCTGCAATGTGTCACATCCTCCTGAAGAATGTGGTCATTAAAGATTCATACTGGAAATTGCCTCCAACAAGGTTGCCGTGCATTTCATTGTGTCGAGTGCTCCTGTGCGAAAAAAAGGTAAAAGAAAAATAACGCACAGGCGCATATGAATCACAATGAATATGACGTTTTGTATTCAGTGTCGACTGATTCAGCTGTTAATGGTGCCAAAGGTTTTCAGCCGAGCGAGGCTTCATCTCTGCAGCCTAACGTGCTGGAAGTAATTCGATCATCTGCTTATTCTCTCGTTTAAACATGACCATGGTTCAGCTTCTGGTCGAAAACTATGTTTACCAATATAACTCATTTGTCCTGTTTGTAAGAGGTTGAAACTGCATCTTAGCTGCACCAGTTTTGGTCTGTTCACTCATTCATTTCATCTGGACCCATAAGGTCATACACACACTACTGAAATGGGATCCTTTATTACACAATAAAAGCAAATAAAGCCTGATAAGTAACTACTTAAGAGACTGACCTACATAGAGTGGAACCATCATTGGTTGTTGTGCCCTGAGGATGAAATTAATGTGACTAATCCACAACAGCTGGATACAGATATGGTATTATTTATTGTGCACTTATCGGTGTTTGAGCTGAGATGAAAAAAACAAAAACTGATTTTGCTCATTATTCTTTATATTTTAGCCTCTCGGTGTGTACATGCAGACTTTTGGAGGTGCAGCCGTTGCAGGTGAAGAGTGACTAGAAAGCAGATAATAGGAAGAAAAATGGAGAAAAGGGCACATACAGGCAGTAAAAACAACAGTAAGTTCACATGAAAAGTAATAATCAAAGACCAGCGGCTATTCTTAATGTTTTCTCTCTAATCTCACAACCTCTAGTTATTCTGCAACAATAAGGTGCAGGTAAGCCTTCATCAGTGGAGCTGCTTGAAACTCCATGTACCTTCAGAGAGCACATGCATTATTGAGAATATAAGCCACTGCCAGAAGAGGAGAAGAAACCAACATTTGTTAAAACATGAAGGGATTTTGATCTGTCTTGGTTAAATTAATCATTGGGGTCAGAGGTCATTTGTATTTATCTCAGGTCGTCCTCAGGGCATGAAATCAAGGTGTGCAGAAGAGCAGTGCATCCGCGACAGGATTATAGTGGAAGGGGGCAACGAAACAGAGCTTTCTCCTTTAATATCCCTTTGTTTTCCTCCCCTCCACCACTCAAAAGGCTCCTCGCCTCCCGTTCCATCTCGGCTTCATTCGCAGCACAATTTTATACTCTTCTCTACTATTTTCCTGCATTCTGACTCCAGCTCATTTTGAATCCCTCACCTGTTCCCTTTAGAGCAGCCAGCCGTACACATATCTGTTTCACAGTAATAAAAAAACTGAGTACTGACTAGCATCCCTAATTCAAATAAGCAAAATTTAGCAGATTGCAGTTGATTTGTTTTGGGTTTTTTTGGAGTCATGCTCAAAGAGAGGACTGAATATATTTCTGTCAAAGCCAAATATGGAACACTTTAAAAACAGATAGATACAGTGGATATTTAATTAGACAGCTGATGAAAACACAGTCTTCAACAACTAATTGAAAAATGTGCATAAGTTTATCTTTGTGACAAAAAAATAATTTATTATATTCTCCTGCTGCTTCTATCAGCGTGACTCTGTGCATGTGTGTATGTGGGAAGCAGTATTTTCCTTAATGTGGACAAGCTGCACAAATGTTCATTTCACAGCTCACAAAATTAAATGTATCATATCCTCGTCTGTATATGTGCCATGGTGACAAGAGAACATGAGATTGCAAAAGGAGGACATTCATTTAAAAGTGGTGATGTGTGATATTTCTTGACAGCGACACAGAGCTTAAGGGTAGAATCGTCTCTGCTGCCTCCCATGAACATGATCCCATGAACATGATCGTGCACAAATCCCATGAATGACTCGCTAACGCCTCTCATCCCTCTCTTTCTATCCACATATATTGCTTCATGTATATAACTGGGTGCATATTGTTTTGACATTGTGTGACAAAGACAAAAGGAGTGAGAAGGAGAAAGAATGAGATAGATCCTAATACTGTTATATGAGAGGCAGTAATCCAGGGTAATTTCAGCAATGCACTGCTGCTATTACGTTTAAGGCACAATCATATTTCTGTATCAAAACATAAATAGAACAGACTTCAAATGAAAAGTATAATAATTGTAATAATGATAAACTTTATGTACTGTATATAGCAACTTTTAAATCCCAGTTACAAGGTGCTTTATAAGTTAAAAATTTAAAAATTGAAGTCAAATAATTTCAAAGCAATTAGAAGATCACACAGGAAAATAGATCAGATAAAGAAAAAAAGGACTTAAATATGAGAGATGAACATTATAAAATGATTAAAATAGATGGTAAGAACTGAACTAGCAAAAAGCACAGCTATACAAATGAGTATAGGGAGTATGGCAGACAGAGCTCCTCAGGGAAAAGCTGCAGAGTTTCTTATAAATTTGAGGTAAATGTCTTGAATCTGTTGATGGACACTATTCACCAACAATGTACAAACTCCAGCAGAGCCGGAGCCCTTAAGGTGATACTGTCTGTAGCAGTCATGATGGATCTTCTTCACTTGGCTGTAACCTTTAAGGCCCAGACAACAGGTCATTCATTACCTGATGTTCTGCTGAGCTGGGAGCAGAAGGAGTCGGTTACAGGCGGCAGTTACACTTACAGCACAAACTGTCTCTGTCAAATCCTAACAGTTTAAAACTGGCATAAGGAGACCTACAAAACCTCAATAAAAATTTAAGTTTCAAAAGAAAAAAAATGGCATAAGGAGGATTATGTTCCAGGGCAGGATGGTAAATACCCTGGGGTGGAGGTTCATGGAGTAGAAAATAAAACATGATGTACTGGATACACAGGTCTTTCTGTGTGTAGTTTACATGTTCTCCCAGTGTCTGCATGGGTTTTCTCCAGATACTCCAGCTCCCTCCCTGTCAGTCAAATATGCAGATGCATGCAGATTGGGGTCAATTGACCGTAGGTGTGAACGTGAGCATTAATGGTAGTTTGTCTCTGTTGGCACAGTGATATTGTCCAAGATGCACCCTGTCGCCCAATTTCTGCTGGGATGGACTTCAGCGCCAGTGATCCTTTAAGAATAAGCGGTACAGATAATGGATGGATAGAGGGAAGGATGGATGGATGGATGGGAGGATACACAGGGAATGATACATTAGGCCTATACAAATGTTTTACAATTATTCACTTCAATTGTTGGGGGCTATCTGAATGAAATATTCTAGAATGTAATATAATATCAGAAGATATCAAATCACTGCCATGTGTTTTGTTTGACATTAATGACAATCATCTTCTTAATGGATTGGTTCATTTTGTGGGAATAAAGACAAAGCTCCATTTGTAGTATAATAATTAGTAGTAAAACAGACAAACAATAAAGAACACAAAAACGTGTAGGGTTGGACAAGTGGCGATCAGAGTAGGATGGTGTGTGTGTGTGTGTGTGTGCTCTACGTCATTATCAGGTCTGCAGACCGCTCTGACGTCACTTATGTGCGACATGCCGAATGGAAACAAGCGAGCCCGTAGTTTCATTTAGACAACAGCGTCTCAGTGTTGCTGTTTTACGAGTGAATGCCGTGCCACGAATTAAATCATACACACATATATTAAGAAACTAAGTTCCTGCAGCTTGTGACTGGAGCGTCATGATTGTAATTTAACTTAATCGTTTACAAAATCATCCGGCGCGGCTTGTTGCAAGGTGCTAGCAGTTAGCATCGTAGGAGCAGTTCACGGTTATCTGCCGCTGCTCCTGCGGCGGGATGAGCTATGGATACGGTGGTGGTGGTGGGAGAAGAGGACGAAGAGGAGGCCGAGGGCACCGAGACGGGAGCGGAGAAAGGTGGGACAGAGATGGGGGAAGAGGAGGTTTCAGAGGATCCAGCTCCGACTGTGACCAGGGGCGAGGAGGAGGAGGAAGAGGAGGAGAAGGAGGTGGGCACCGGGACCGTCCTCCTCCACATCTGAAGGGCCGTGAGATCGGGCTGTGGTACGCAAGATACGGAGCCGTGAGGAGGAAACAGGCCGACAGGAGATCGGTATGCATAGTGTTCAGTAGAGCATCCTCTCGGTGGTGAGCTGGCTTGTCTGTGTACTAGCTGTGGTGTAAAGTAACTGAGTGCAGCAGACCACTCACAATCAGGTGAAAGAGAATACAAATATATAAGAAGTCAACGGAACGTGTACATGATATACAGTGTATATCATGTACATGCGACTTTCACTTACTTCACTCAAACACACACTTTTAGGTACTTGCACTGTGAGTACTGAGTATTGTACTGTATAGTTCTGTTATATAGTATAGTACATTTTGGACTTAAATATTGCACATTTCACTCCTCGCTTTTTGTGTAAAACCAAATAGGATATGCATACATCACATCTTTTAGCATCATACCAGTAATTCAAAACTTTCTGGGCTGTGATCTCATGTTTGTAGTGTCTGCAGACATCTTGCCTCCAAACTCCTTGCATGGTTTCATGAAAGTTAGCAGTATTTCCATATTAACAACTGAACAATGTCAAACAGAACTGGAAGGCTGCCCTATCTTGCCATATTGAAGAAATTGGAAAAAAAACAAATGCCTGGATCCTGCTGTATGTTTAGATCTGTTTGAAAATGTTGTGGGTCCTTCCTTGGACCATGCACCACCCCTCCACAACATTTAATCGAAATCAGTTCAGTAGTTTTTGAGTAACCCTGCTGACAAACAGACAAACAAAAATACAAACAAAAAATAGCAATAAATGGATCAAATCCATAGCGGTGTAATAATTCTGCTGTGTTGTTCACCACAGATATGAGAGAGACACAGAGGTTACAAAGAAGGTGACACTTATTTACTCACTGAGTTATTAATTTCTGCCAGGTTGGGTAGAATAGTTCCAGAGTGTGGGGCTGTCCACCACATTGTGATTCATCTTGTCTCATGATAATTTTAGTGGCTCTCCTACGTCCAGAACAATAGACACTTTTTTCAGAATTTCCTGAATTGTGATTTATTGTATACAAACAATTCAAAACAGAGGTTGCAAGGTTTTGAAAAGTGGAAACTGTCAATACATGTTCTTAGTTTTAGTGGAATAATAGTTTGCTTTATTGAGATTTTGCAGTGGGATTAAAGTTACATCTGGTTAAGACTTATCATATTGCTCCAAACCAAGCCCTGGTATTTCATTCGCTTAGTTAATCTGCAAGGTTGTGGCTGAACTTCCTTTCTCTCCATGACTGTGTGCAGCGAGCGGTGGTCCAGATGGATGAGGCCAGAGAGCAGCACATTACCAAGCTGCTAAATTCTGTCCAGAATGACCACCCTGGTTCAGAGAGAGACAGCAGGGGAGCAAGAGCCTCTACGTCTGATAATTGGCAAACAGATGCCAACAGAGGTGATCACTGGTGAGAACAGCTTGCAGAGCTTTTTCATTTCAGTTGTGCACAGTGTAGTTTATATCTTATCATAAAGCTGGATAGGAAAATGCATGAACTGTTATTTTTCTGGCTGAGATGGTCTCTAAAGTTGTCTATGACCTGTGTGTGCAGTTACTTTGATGGAGATTTGCCCAAAGAGGTAAAACAGGAGATAGATTACACATCTGAAGATGAAGAAGGGAGTTCGGGCCAGAAGAAAGCAGCTAACAAGTCACATCGGTAAACAATGTAGATACATGCATAGAAAGATATGACTTGATCAAATTGCATAATTGTAGAACAACCTATATTGTCAGGTGACCCACTATATCCACTCGTTCTACATGTTTTTGTTTAGTTACTTAACTCCGGCAGCCGTTAAAGATGAAACACCAGACACATGGGATGATGACGAGCCCCAGGAAGAGGAGAAGGAGGAAAAAGAAAAACTGAGACGCAGAGACAAGGACCTAGAATTCTTATTCCAAGAAAAAGTCAGAGATAGTTCACTGGACGATTATTTACAGAGAGATCTGCAGAGCAAGAAATCAGATCCAAAGTACAAAGAAATGCTGGTGAGTATAATGATTAGTATCAAGTGCCAAAAGTGAAGACTTTGATGTTTGACTTGAATGTCGAAGTTAATTGATTTTTTTCTCATGAAAATATATGATCAAAGTTGCAGGATGATTTGTGTGGGGTTACTAAAGCAATGAAAAGTGGAGTATGCAGTGGAACATATTGGAGATGATGAAGGGCAGAGAGCAGCCATTTCTAAATGATGGATAACACATGCCAGTTGGTTTGCAATAATTTGTTGCTGTGCTACTTTGGATACTCTGAGATTTACAGGACGACAGATGTTTGCAGATCTAAATAGTTTAGTACAAGACCCTAATTTAGAATAAGGCTCGGTCATATGAAAAAATTGTATCTCTCATCATAATGTTATCAAAATATTCTGTAAAACCATGATATGTCTTCAGTCTGTCACAGTATCAAAATACTGGAGGAATTATTGAACTGTTACTGGATAGAATCAGTTTTTATCTGTGTTTATTAGAATAGTGCAGATGTCTGTATATGTCCCATACCTTAGTTATAAAAGAAGAACATTTGCTCTTGATTTTTCGGTTTTCCATAACTTTTATGAAATGTTTGCTTAATTTTCTGTTTGCAGAAATTCAGGGAAAAACTACCTTCCTATGGGAAAAAAGAGGTACATTTTTGGATCATTTACATGGTTAAGACATTTTTGTCAGCTACCATCACCTCCTCATGCCATTATCCCTCCACTTTCTCTCATCCGCCTCCTTTCTTCCATCCACAGGAGCTAGTGGAGCTAATCAACTCTAGCCGTGTCCTGGTTGTGAGTGGGGAGACGGGGTGTGGAAAGACCACGCAAGTCACCCAATTCATCCTGGATGACTATATTAACAGAGGCGTGGGATCGATGTGCCGGGTCGTGTGCACGCAGCCTCGTCGCATCAGTGCCATCTCTGTATGTACTCTGCTGGATTTTCAAGTCTGACTCTGTCGGACTAAATGTTGTTGTTGCTCTTTTATTATTTGTGTGTTTATGCTTTATCTTAGGTAGCAGAGCGTGTAGCAGCAGAGAGGGCTGAAAGTGTAGGGAATGGAAATTCTTCTGGTTACCAAATTCGCCTACAGAGGTAAGGAAGTCTTAACAAACTTGATGCATACATCTTAAGTTCTGTTGAGTCACCATTGTTTGGGTTGTTGGTAAGGTCGTTCGTTCACAAAGGCTGTCTCTATGTCTTTCCTGGTTTAGCTTCAAACTCTGAATTACTACCAACTTCTCAGATCTTTGTTTTTGATTAAAAGCAATTCAAAGTGTTGGTTTCCTCTATTACTAGACATTACAAAGCCATTAATGAATATCAACAAGGTTACGTTGAAGTGATGGCCTCCAGAACTATAGATGATGTACCATTATTACATCCATATATATTAAAGTTAAAATGACATACGCACAGTGATTTGTGTATACAGACTGCCGTATTTTCTTTTCAAAAGCAGTTCTAGATGGATGGGCGAAACTACGATGGTTGATGGAAATATATGGGATGCATGAATACCACAGGAAATTAGTGTTTCTGAAGGACAGGAGATATGAGATTTAGATGGGAACAATGAACGCATAGGAAGAGATGCACAAAGCTGAGGAGAAAGGCACAACTGTACAGCAGAGTTACTAGATAACTATAGTTGTCAGGGTGCTGCAATCTCAAGTGAATTATATGCAGTGAACAGTAACCATGAGAGAAGATGGAGTACTGATGCAGCAGAGAGAGAGAGAGAGAGAGAGAAAAGACAACTCGGGTGTGGTATGAAAGGAGACTGATACAAGACAAGTGAAAGGATTGACGGAGAAGAATGATAACAGTCTGTAGACCTGGTTGGTGGAGGCATACAACCACTGGGCAGTAATTGTACTTGGGAACCTTTACGTGTGCTATTATCTCATGTAATTCCATCAAGTTACATCAACCTAGTATATAAAAGTACACAATTCTACACTCTACTGTTCTCGTGTGAGGCTCTCGGTGGATGACTAACTTTAAAAACTGAATACAAATTGGAACACATTTGATTAAGTCTTTGCCAACTTCAGTCACATTTGCACAGAACACAACTTATCCAGTGCAGACTCTCATTGCATTTAATGTGTATTTGCTGCAAATGAGCAGATGGCGGGTTCAAATAACGATTAAGTTGAAATCTGTGGAGTAAATATCAGATTCATAATGTTCTATCTCAGACATGGGATATGTTAACAGTCATTTATATGAAACATCTTCTTGCACTGCGTTTCTAGAGTCTTACAGTTTGTGCCTGAGGCTGTGTCTCCAAGTGGGTCCTTGTGATAAAACTGTTTTTGAGTTTGTGCTTGCTTTTACCACAAATTAAATGAATTTGTGATTAATAAAATAATGACACAGCAAACCTTCTGCCAGGTGATATTGTATTATACAAAGACATCAATTGCACAGACAGTGGGAAGAATGAGAAGTTAATGAAGGTCTAGCAGCTCTTATTTCAGCAGATCCCGGCAGCGTTTGGCCACTGGCAAGGTTTTCCTTCAGTTTCTTTTAATTTGAAATGTAATGAGCATCCATCCATCCATCCATCCATCCATCTATAACTATAATGGAACCATCTATAATAAACATGCTTGTTATAAAGTTGGTTAGTCTAGAATGGAATGCTGCTGTCACTAAATTTTACTATTATTTATTGGGTTCTGTGTATTATCTCTATGCTGTTCTATAATTGCAAATGTAACATAATATTTTTCTCAGGACTTATTTGTCACATTGTGTGTTTCTTTGGTTGTTTAACTCTTAATGTTGTGTGTTGATACAGTGGAAATATATAAGGAAACATCTTGCTTCAGCCATGTATCTCAATAACCTTTGCACTTTGTCTGGCACATTTTACACTCTGGTTTTTAGTTCAATGCCAGTTTTTGTTTTTCATCTTTTATGCGTTATATCCTTTCAGTGTTTTATCATTATAAGTGCTTTAGGGCAGGTGCAATATTCAGCTCCTCTTATTCAACATTATTATTCTCGGTCTTACGCAATATGTCCTTTTTGCTGTTTTTTGTTGTTTGTTGTACAATGTACTGTTCTGCAGCTACTGTAGCACTTTGGCCCAAGACAAATTTCCCCACGGGGACGAAAACTTATATTTGATTCGATATAGTGAAAATCGTCTGTTTCAGACAAATTGCTTTATAAAAAATATTGTTATTAGTAATATTTCTGAAAGTGAAATTAGTTCAAGTTCTGTTGGAAACATTAATGTGGTTCAGTTGTCAGTGTAATTCATTTTTTAGATGTGTCATATGAGAGGCAGTTTCTGCTTTGGTTGACATTAAAGTAAATGAGGCGTTACTTCATGAGCGCTTTTCGTGACCGACTATTTCTTATTTTAAATGTGTCGTTAAGTTGGTGTGAACAAAGTGCTTGCATTACTTATTACATTGCATTTTCTGCATCATTGAGATTGTATAGCAACATCTGGTTTGTGTGCAGATAATGCTACGACTAGACAATGTGTACAACAGAACACAGACAAAACTGTGTTTGTAATCCAAAAATGGAAGAGGAGGGTGAACATGAATAAAGTCTTTAATGTTAGAACACACATATAAAGAAAATATATTGAATATATTATCTGGAAATTTTAAGTCATTTTCTGAAACTTTTTTTTTCTTCTTCTGTCTCTCAGCCGGCTACCACGGAGACAAGGTTCGGTCCTTTACTGCACAACTGGCATTATTCTTCAGTGGCTTCACTCAGACCCGTAAGTCTCTCACCCCCCCAGTTCCTGCTTCCTAATCTTCCTCACATCTCGTCCCCAGCATTTCTTTTTCCCTGCATCTCCTCTCAGTGTCTCCATTCCAGCCGTCCTTCCTCCACTCTCTTATTCTGTGTGTGTCACTCCATTTGTTGTTGACTCTACTCACTGTTGAAGAAGCATTAGTATGGCACACACACACACACACAAGCGCGCACAATCCGTTGACTCATCCCTGCATACGCATCCTTGCATTCTGAGTGTCTTCAGAAAAACCACAGAGACTAAGTGAGGGTGCCAGCTTCTCCTGTTGTGTTGCTTCGTGCTCTTTCAGAATTGGCACAACTCTAGTGAGGCCTTTTAGTTATACAGTTGTCTGACAAAACACGGCAACAGTCCATATAGGCTGCAGCTTTGTCTACGCTCGTCTGTTTTGTTGTGACTATGATGCAGTAAATCTTTCACTCCGACAGACACTTTTTACTCATCGCTGCAGACTAATGCTTCACATATAGGCACAGAACACAAAGTGGTTTCTTCAAATTCTAGTTCAGCGCCTAAAGGATATTTATTAGAAAAGTTTGGCAATTCTCTTGGCTGAAATAGATCAGTAGATTTTAATCCAAATTCCCTGGTTCCGTTGCTCTAGATATGACTTCAACCATAGAATGTAAAAATAAGATAAATGCTCCATGTCTAAAAGTTATACAGCAAAAATATTTAGAAAAATATACATCCACACCCCGGGCACAGAATTGACATTTTCAGGCCTGGTAAGACCAATCAGATTAACCATTGATCCATTAAACTTTCACCTTTTATTCTTTCTCTGCTGTCAGATTGTTGTCCAGTATCAGTCACCTGGTGCTTGATGAGATCCACGAGAGGAACCTGCAGTCGGACGTTTTGCTCATCATTGTGAAGGACTTGCTCACCCTCCGAGATGATCTCAAGGTCATCCTCATGAGTGCAACGCTCAACGCAGAGAAGTTTTCCAAATATTTTGGTACGCAAACCAAGTGACATTGCTATCTTTTATTGAGGAGTTGCAGTTTGATTGGTTTAGAGCTTGTCTGACTGTGTCTAACTCCCTTTAGACAACTGTCCAATGATTCACATCCCTGGTTCGACTTTCCCAGTGGAAGAGTTCCTACTTGAGGACATTATAGAGATGACCAGGTGGGGCAACATTATTTCTATATACGCCCATACAAATCCAAATGCAGCCACTGTGTCCCTTCAATTTTAAATGAACTGTTTGGTGTCTCCCTGCTCAGGTATCGCCCTCAGAATCAGGACCGTCGACCTTCATGGAAGAGAGGCTTTTGGCAGGGGCAAAACTCCAGACCTGAGAAAGAGGAGAAAGAGGCTGAATACAAGGACAGTTGGCCTTGCTATGAACGCACACTGCAGAACAGGTGAGCACAATATTATGATCCTACAGTGCTACAGCAGTCAGTGGGCACAGCTCTAGGCAGAACTATAGATCACATCCGACATTGTGTGCACCTACACACTGTCTTCCTACGCTGTAAGCAGGTACAGTAAGACCTTGATTCCAAAGTATAATTCAGTGGCAGTGTCATGAAGGGGCCATTTACCACGGCTGTGACTCAACAGACAAAGGATGGATTCGTAGTATTTCGTGAACCTATCCTTTCCACTATTATTTGAGACAAAAAAATAAAAATATATATCTAAAAATCTCATGTTACTTATTCTTTGATCGTCTATATTTTCACAGATATTCTGAAAACACGATTTCAGCAGTAGAGATGTTGGACAGCAATGACAAGATTGACCTGGAGCTTATCTTGGCACTGATTCGTCACATTGTGCTCAATGATGAGGTGAGTTTATCTGGGATGTCTGGGCAGGCACAATTCTTTTGTCAGAAATTCGATTTTTGATTTAAGTAATTCTTCCTCAGAAATGAAATAGGGGATCCAGGGAGACTGCCTGTGTGTGTCTGAGTGGTGTTTCACTGGAGGTTGTCTTGTAGATTTGTTTCATCGACTTATAAATCTCTCAAAGTTTCCATCATAGACGAGGCAGACTGAGCAGTGGTCCCAGTAGGGGAAGATTTCATATCAAATAAAAGTAAATAACAAAAGTAGAAAAGTTCAGTTGTACTCCTGGCTGTAGCAAATGAAAGAAACAGGAGGGACTAGCTTCCAATCACAGAGCGACTCCATGCAATAACAGGTCCTGGCAGCAGATCTGTGGTAAGGAAGAATCAAACAAAATGTTCTCTCCCAATGCACGGTAGTCTTCTTTTTATTTCTCTTTTCAATTCTAGTTAATTTGCCTAATCTTGTAGTATAATTTCAACCAAGTCAGATATGCGACATGCATTTTATGTTTTTACTCTTTCAGTAACTAAACTAACTATATCCACATTGGGAGTTGTAGCAAATTGAGCAAACACAATTTTGGTAGAATCCATCAACACAAAAAATACATGGTTACAATTTCAGTAAATTCCATTGTGTTTTTGCAGCAGTGTTATCCTACTGTTTCTAGTCATTCATGCCAGTGGCAAGATGTTTGAGAACAGACCTTAACAATGGAGATAACAAACATTCTGTGCTGCCTATTAAGAGGAGAATAAATGGGACAACTTTCGTTCACCTTTTCTGCTTTTTTCCCAGATGAAGTGTGTGTTTTCTGGGGAAAAAATACGAGAAACACTCAGAACAAAGAGACGGGGCCAGAATGAGGACTGACTAACACAGATAGACAGAATAATTATCCCCTCTCAAATAAAGCTGTATCACTATCAGTCACGGCCGCCCTGAGCCAGTCAACCAGCTGATTTGCCGTGGCATTGTGAAATGGCTGACAGAGAAGCAGCGGATCTGCCTTGACTGCTGAAACGGGGATAGGGGAGGCGGTTTGCTGGGCTTTCAACTGTGATGATTGGTTAATTATGTTTCAGGGGTCTGTCATTAGACACCTAGAGGGTTGACATGGAGGCAATAATAAGCACCTACTGGGTGCAACTACGTGTGTGGGTGTTTTTTGGTGTGTGGATGTGCTAAATAGTGGGCCAACACAACAGAGCTAACTACTGTTACTTGATTTTTAGTTGGAATTAATCAGAGCCTCTGTCTGTGCTGCATGTGTGTTTCTGTCAGGTTGTAAATAGGCACTGTGCCTGCTCCTCTGCTGCTCTGCTGCTCCTCCTCTCTCATTCACACACGTACACATGTACGATCATTAACATACGCATACAGTAGCACATTGGTACCATTGTTTGAGCTCTGGTAATAATAATTAGCTTTAATTAAAAGGCAGCGGTGCTCAGAGCCCTGAAGCTACTTTTAATGTCTTTCCTCATCTCCTCTCAGGAAATGAATAGAATAGTCCTTTTCAAAGACGAGGTTCTTTTGTACGAGCTTGATATTATCCTGAGAATTATCTTTGTTTAAATGTAGGTCTTTGATGTGGTGAAACAGAATCAAACTTATTGTTGTTGATAGTTAAATTGGAATTTTGCTCACGTTTCAGAAGTTGAGAACTTCTTAAACTATAATTAGCCTTTAGTTCAATATCTGTGCTGTAAAAATATTGTTGGAGACAAATATGCTTCAATATTTGTGTCAGATACTAAATTTGTTGTTTGCAGCTGCTCTGCTTTGAACAATCTCATCTGTATGTGTAGGTCATAAAGTGCAACTACATTTAAATGTTCTGATAGAACGCCACAGGTTGGCGAGGGTCATTAAAGGGCACATGCATCATAAACATCATCACAGAGGAGCATTACATCTGGTAGCGATGTTGTGTAAAACCGGTCAGAATTATGTTGAATGCTTGTTCAACATAATATTGAATGCTGATGTGTTTCCTGTCAGAAAAGGTCAAATGAGGGGTTTGACTATTTGAAAGAAATTGAAAATAGTAGAGGATGTTAACATGACTTTATTGTGTTGTTGAGCTTATTCTACCTGTTGTTCTTACATTGCTAGCAGCCTAAATAATTTGTAGTCCAAATATAGAGCACTGTTAATCTGGATTTGGTCTATTTTGATTGAATATTTTCCTGATCCTGGGTAGCAAAACAAAGTATTACTATTACCCTCTGGCCATGTTCAACTTTTGGAACATGTTTTTAGGTTACTGTTGTGTTGTTTTTGGCTGTTTTGAGATAAAGCAAGCCCGTCCCAGTGTTAATGTGAAGCAGAGGATGCCCCCTAGGGGGAATAATGATGTTGGCAGTGAGTGTCAGGGACAATTGTGGCTGCATGTGGAGGTTTGAAGCTCGGGGCAGGTCGTCTCCATCTACCTCAGCACAGCTCCTCTCAGGACACGGGCACCTTGTTCACTTGGCTCAGTTTTTGTTGTTGGTTTCCTTTTGTTCTATTGGAACCTTGCTCGTTTTGTGTGTTTCAACTTGTGTTGTCACGTCTTTTTTTCGACAGGAAGGAGCAATCCTGGTTTTCCTCCCAGGCTGGGACAACATCAGCAGCCTCAATGACCTGCTCATGGCTCAGCAGATGTTCAGATCAGGTACACATGTATAGTAACACACCTATGTGATGTGCATAGAGGTTTTTTGTCATATGTGACAGAAAGTTGAGTATTTTCAGGTCTTTGATTGGCCTGTCAGATTATTAAATGATGCATTTTCAAATATATTCATATTGGACAGACTTATCAATAATGAAAATAATCAGTTGCAGACCAAGATGAATTGATTAGTTAATGAAAAGAAAACGTTACTGATAATGAATTTAATTTCATAACTATGATGTCCAAAACTGTCTATTTTATACAGCTAGCAAATAATTGTAATAAATAAAAATTCTGCACAATAATTTATTTTATTTATGGGCACCTTTCACAGCACTCGAGGTCACCTTACAAGGCAGAGATAAAGACAGAACACAAAAAAACACAAAAAACGATGTATCTAAAAGATTATTCAGAACATATTTGCAGACCCAGAAATGTGATGTGGAGACTTGAATTCACATTGATAAACTGATAATGGACCTTACATGAGGACGAGGGTCTCATGGTCTCTTCGAGGACCTTCCTGCCGGAGTTCTTAAAATGAATAGATTTCTTTTCAAA